CCCAAACCATTCTGTGATTCAGCTTGTCTAGGATGTAATGATGAGGACTATTTGGCAGGCATTGGGATTTTCTGAGAGAGCAAGCTTGCTGTTTAACCTCCATTACAAATTTGTTAATTGAGCAATAAGATTTTGTCAGGGCCATAGCTAAAACCTGAGAGCTTGTTAAAGGACCATTAAAGTATATGTGAGGTCTGGACCCACTACTTGAAGTCTGATGTTTCTTCCCTGTGATGAAAATAATAACCAGGAGTGTAAGCAGGCTGTCAGGGAACTGGGTGAAATTCTGTGCTCTCAGTAATGTGTCTCTGATGAGATAGTCTTATAAACCCCCAAACTGTTCTCCAAAGTGTCCAAGGGGAGTAGCTGGCCTAGTGAGGAACCAAAAGGAAAGAGGCAGGGATAAAACACAGCAAGGCAAGGCCTGGTCTCCCTGTGTATGGGAACATTGTCTCCCTTTCTTTTTCTTCATGTAGCTGTGAATTCCCTTTGCTCTGTTATACAGATGTGCTTACAAGAAGCAGTTTGAGGTTTTCAGAAGCCCTCCTGTAAAGAGTATGAAAAGGCAAAACGTTGATATTGAATTTGTAAGTGCCTGTGCAGCTACAGAATGTATGTGGTACACACAAAAATGTAATATACTAGCACAAGTTTTGCAGAGCTTGCTGCAGAGCAGTGTGTGGAGGGCTAGTGAGGGCTATATATGCAGTTGGGGAGGAAAAAACAATACCATAATCTCCAGAAATTGAGAGATGCAGAGGTACAGTTTCCAGTTCAGAAAATGTGTTACTGTGATACTGGGGAGACACTGAGGTTTGGAATAGTCCTGACACATCATTTGATTGCAGAATGTAATGTTGTTGAAAGTACAGAATAAGTTGAAAATTATTTGCTAGCTATTGAAATTTATTTCATGCCTTTCAGTATCTGCATATATGGTATAGTTAGCAGATTACTGGAAACTACTTTTAGAAATAGATTGCTTCTAACCTAATTTGTTTAAACTTTGGTCTTTGGATGTATCATTTTCTATTTCAGTTTTTTCTGTGCATTTTATGACCACTGATTTATGTTGGTGTTTAATATGCTTTACATTTCTCAGTAAATTGTGTGTTACCTCAGCATGCTTTAAAAAAATAAATGTATGGGAGGTGAAGAAGGCAGAGATCTTTGACCTCCCCGTGCTTAGTAATTTTCTAAGTACCAATGCATCATTGACCTTTGGCGTATTGGTTCCCTCATGCAGGAGCTGTTTATCTAGAGGGGAGCCTAGAAGAAGCCAAGCAATTATTTGGACGTTTACTCTTCAATGACAAGGTATGAATGTATTTATATGATTCGATGTCCATTTTAAAAGTAACTGAAGACATGCTTTCTTGCCCATTGTTTTACTTGAGAATCACAAATGAACAGAAACACTCTTAGAAAGTGAATATATCACAGCATGTTTAGCACAGCAAGCTGCACAGACGGGTTCAGGCAAAAAAAATTGCAGTGTTTCCGTAGGTGGGCTGTTTGTTTGTTGGCTTTTGGAAGGGTGGGTGGCATGGGAAGCCTGCAGATTTCCCTTCAGAGTGCTGCTCTAACACCAGAGATGGGTGCTGTGGATCCAGGCAGCATGCTTTGGGGAAATGATGCACATGTAAAGCGACTATTCCTGTTTTACCAGCTAAATCCTCCCACTCCTAATAGTTTTAAACATAACTTTGACAAAAACGCAGGGGATTTCATGCAATTTTTACCCAGCTGCGTAATTGAAGTCTGATCTGTTCTTGCATACTGTATCTTCAGTCACTGTCAGCTGGAATTTATCCCATATGACAACCTGGGACAGTAACCAGCACATACTGCTGGGACAATACATGTGGCAGTGGTGAGGGGGTGAATTATACAATTCTTTCTTCCTTGAAAGTCTCTGAGTCTGTGAAATGACAAAGCCTATTAGGAATAAAAGTATTTTGAAGCCTCTTGTAACTCAGTGTTTATTTGCTGCTCAGTGCCTGGAGTGAAAGAAACCTGTATGAATTAGAAGAAAATAAATGATTTTTAGACCTTGCCTTTAGTGAAGTCAAACTTGCTACTGAGAAGTACTTGCAAATACAGTTAGTCCTGAGGCTTAAACAAATCTTTTTCTTCATTTAACCACTTTTTATTTGGTTCAAGGATTTTTCCACCTCTTTGACACAAGCTAATTGGGAGAACTACAGGCAGTTTGAACAGCAAATACACGATTTTAAAAATTAGTTTGCCAGCACTATTGAATTTGCAATAAGCAGAGTCAGCATCTGAAATAGTTCAGTATTTCAAGTAATGACATTTTATTTAGCACTGTGGAATTTGTTAAATGACTCCCTTGAGCTTTAAAGGCATCTCTCCATGTTTGCAGGACCTGCGGGATGTATGGCTTAATTATCCGCTACACCCACTCCAAGTAAGTGTATCTCTTCCCGTAATAAATTTCATAGCGCTGTTTTATTTTCATGGATGCTTTTCCATAGGTTTCTATTGTAATGACATCTCAGAATTGTGTTAAAAAGTAGCCAAAGGAATGTATATATTTGCCTTTGTGTTTGGTTTTGGGGTTTGTTTGGTGTGGGGTTTCTTAATAAATAATGAGTCTCTGCCTTTCTGAGAATTAATCGTTCACCTTTCCTTGGGTCATGCTTGATATATAACTCTGCTTCTCATACAATAAATAAAGTGAGAGGCAACATTTGGTGTTTCTTGTTCATCTTCTCAAAGCTGGTGGAAAATGGGTCAGAAAAAATCTGTGTACATATTTTGTTAACCTGAAATCTTAATAGTAGGAAGGCACATAAGTTGAATGGAATAAGAGTGTGATTCTGACTTTTTTGGGATGGGTGTGTTTGTGCAGTGACAGCATGGTTGGTTTGGTCATTCTGGTACCTTTAATACCAAGTAAACACCTAAATGATGAAGGTTCCTGAAAGCTGATTTATCCTTCACGTATTGGAGGTTACAGATTCACAAGATGCTAGTTTACGAGGCTGGAAGAATGTTTTCCCAGTCCTTGTTCCATGTCTTAATTCTGAGGGAGACCTAGGGGAAGTCACTCTGCACTGTAGCTCCTTCTCTTCACAGCAAACACGGCAGTGTTTTCCAAGTGTGCCGGCAGGCGTATTCAAACCATCATCCAGCCAGTTAGCAAGGTTTTCAGGGTTACGTGAACATTTGGAAGGTTTCTTTTGTCCAACCAAATCTCTGATGTTTTGTGCATTCAGTTTGACTCCTTTCAAACCTTTGATGGGCACCCCTTTCCAGCAGAAGGTCACTTGGAAGCCTCTGTCTGAAATGTCTCATGTTTGGACACATTTTGCAGTGGTTACATGGGCAAAGTCTTCAGCAACAAGTCAGCACACGTAAACTGTTTTCACAACCAACTGTCTGTGAGGGAAAATAGAAGAGAGTCTGAATGGGAAGATAAACTTCTGAGATTCAGCACCAGCTATCCTGCATGGTGACACAAGCTACCAAGAAAATTCTTCTTACTCTGGATTTCTTTCTTTTCCCTTACTTTTATTCTACTGTAACCTTTTTCTCTGCTTAGATTACTTGGATTCTGCTTAGAAGTTGGAGACAGTCAGTATATGCAGCTTATCATTTTTGCTGCTACCTGAACTTGTGTGATGATTTATTTGCTTCGGTGTTCCAGAAGCCATCCTCACTCTCTGCTTGCCAGCAGGGGAAACACAGGCTGCTCAGGTTGGCCTTTGGGCACAGTTAGCCTGAAAACTAGTATTTTAAAAATTACTGAAAGTCACTGTAACAGTATGGCAAATGAGATGCCAGTTAAAAATGAATAAAACTCTGGGTAAGATACACGGAACTGGAGGCCTGTAGCCCTGTTATTTGGCAGTAGTCCAGTCAGTAGGAGTGGTCATGAAAAAAAACAGTTAGTGGTTACCTGGATAAATGTGGTCTCTTCAGAGGGAGTCCACGTCTTACACGGGATGAAGATCACTGGCATATTTCCCTAGGGATCTCTGCTAAAGTAGAGGCTGTTCACATGGGCAGCTTAGGGAAGAGGATGAGCAGTGAGGTGGCAGTTTGTTGACAATGCCAAATTATTCAGAGTAGCAGGAACAACAGCAGGCTGAGGAATTGCAGGCTGATTGTGAGAGTGCACAAGTGACTAACTATGGAGTAAAAAAGCGACTGAAATTCTCTGTAGGTAAATACAAAGGACTGTGCATGAGGAAGCAAAAAAGCAGTCTCAGCTCCATGTGCAACTGAACTCCAGACTCACTATTATCACCCAATCATGGGATTTTGGTGCTTGGAATATGTAGTTCTATGAGAATGTTAGCTGAAAGCTCAGTAGTGTTTAAGGAGAAAGACAAATAGAATGTAATCAATTAATAGAAAGGAACAGGCAACAGATCAAAAATGATCTTAATGCCACTTTAAAAAAAAATGTGGCTATTCTTACTTTTCCTTTAGGCATCCTCATGTGGATGATGCATGAAGGCATTGCTATGCAAGAGAGATGCCCAGAGTGGCTGGAGGAAACGCTTAAGCCATTTCCCAGCTCCAGAAAGCCATTTAACAGTGTCACCACATCAAGGACATCAGTCAAGAAACCTATAAGAAAAGATACTGACCCAAAGTGATAATGTTCTGTGTTATTGTGCCCTTTTGAATTTCATATACTAAGTTTTTTGATACTGAAGGAAGGGGTGGGAAACAGATTTGGGTTTTGTCTCATCTTGACATGCTATCAGTCTGCTGGTGCTATTCTAATAATTTTTGAATCTGTTGCTCAGCTGCAAACAACGCAATAGGTTTAGAAAACTCAGACACATACAGTTGTACAAGCTTTGTGAAAATAATTAGCCCATCCACGTGTAGAGACCATATAAGCAATGTGTTACAAATGCCTCAGTTGTTAAAAAAGCATATGTAAGAGCTCACATCTTCTTTGAGTGGTAATTATCCAGGACAAAAGACAGAGGAAACTGGGTGTTCTCACTTCAGCTGTCCACAGACCAATGTATTCACTGTATTCTTTGCCTTTGGTTTAAAGAAAGCCTGCTTTTCTCTGAAAAATCTGAAACAGTGTCAGTTTGTCCTTATTTGCACTTCATTTTCTTTACAGCTGCAGGAATCCAATACTGACAGGCAACTCATCGAGACCTCTCCAGTTCTTCAAAAGCTTACAGAGTTTGAGGAGGCAATTGGAGTCATCTTTACTCATGTGCGGCTTCTAGCACGCGCGTTCACTCTGAGGACAGTGGGCTTTAACCATCTGACTCTGTGAGTACACAGCAGGCGTCCTCGTGCAGCACTGGTCATCCTTCTGTTAGTATGCCCAATTGTGCTTTTGTAGGCAAACTCTAGATGTTGCATCTGTTCTCCAGAAGAGAATAGAGCAGCAGTGTTTGTGGGTCTGCCTGGTTCAGTATCTCGCCTGTGGCAGTAGCCAGTAGTGGATCCCTTGGGAAAGACTGGTGAAGATGTTAGAGAGCCTTCCTGGTCTTCCTGCTGGGTTTCCTGGGTCATTGATATTCGCACAGCACTCCAAGCGAAGCATACTTGCAGGTACATTTGGACAGAGGAAAGAGCTCTTTGGTCCAAGTGCAGCCCTTGTGTTCTATGGTGTGTACAGGACCTAACACATTGGTTTTGGGTCTCTGATTAGAGCTGCCAGGCCCCATCTTAAAGCAAGCAGTAGAGTCAGACCAGTGGTTACCCAGTCCGGGATCTCACCCAGGTTTAAACCCTGATCCTTTTATTTCTCATGAACGGACAGACCTTTTCCTCTATTGAAGTTGTTGCATTCATTAGTTCACTTTCTTATAAGAAGCTGCAAGTAGACACAGTATCACATTACAAACTTGATGTCGATGGCTCTTCTCCTCCAATTAGTCCCAGATCGGTGATCTAATAATTGTGTTTATAAGTAGCTACCCTGATTTGCTTTCTCCCTGAAAATTGGTGTTACGACAGTAACGAACTGTGCTTTCATCTCACCTGGTTAACACTGGAAAATTGTCTTATATGTGTTTGGAAATGAGCGAGGCTCACTTTCAGATCACTCTTTATTTTAATTTGCGTGTTCATGCTGGTTTTGTTTTTTCCTCCCTGAGTGGTTATTGATTTTGCTGTATTGATGTCTCATTTTTCAGAGGCCACAACCAGAGGATGGAATTCCTGGGTGACTCCATAATGCAGTTGGTAGCCACAGAGTATTTATTCATACATTTCCCTGATCATCATGAAGGGCACTTAACGGTGAGGCTGCCATCAATCATGCTCTCTGGGAGAGCAAGGGTGGGATGGAGGCTGAAATTATGGGAGCAGCTAGTGAATTATTCTGGATTTGATTAATAAAAGAAGCCACAGCAACCACTGCTCTTAATAAGGCTTTGCTAATTTTAAGTCAGGAGCACTGCAATGAATAGGAAATGGTGATTTATGAGCCCAATGCAATAATTTTTGTTCTGTCTGTGAAATGGATCAATAATTTTAAGGATGTCAGTGATGAAATTGGGAGATAAGATTAGTTCTTGTTTAACGATGGGTGTCTCTGCCAGTTTAAATGGTTTATCACGTGACTTCTTTTATTCGTAACTTTCGGTCTGTTGAACCTGCAACCCGGCAGGGTTATGTTTCCTGATAAGAAGTTTCTACAATCTATTTTAGTCTGGTTTTCCTGATGTCTTCAATCTGGAGCTCCTGTGGTGGCTTCTGAATGTAATTTTACTATTTTTATAGTCATCTGTTGTTGATTACTGCAGCCTTTCAGCCTGTCGTATCTGGGCTCTGAACAGCTCAATTTGGGGATCTTTCAACAGTTTTACAGTACTTTAAACATAGGGTGGTGGTATATGTAGTTTTTTCCTGACTGATTCATTTAATACTGCAGCTAAACAGTTGTGGCTTTATTTCTGAGCAAGAAATTTTTTTAGGCTTACTAAATTTTTCTTCATTTTCAAGTCTTGACTAGAATAAAAAAGCCATACATGTAAATGTGAGACAAGTCTTCCGGTTAATTAGGAAGTAGCAGTGTAGGTTTCTTGGCTACTCAGTGGTTTTCTCAAATCAGTAAAGGGGTGGCGATGCTAAGTGTCTAGCAGGCAGTGTGTTGTCAAGAATATGCTGCTTAGGTGTTTTACAAGAAAAAAAGAAGGATATTCTCTGACTAAAACTAATTTTAATTACTCGTCACCAGTTCTTAAGTTTCATTTACCTTTGTATGGATTCTTCTGCACCCGTCAGAAGACAGGAGTAGCTAAAGCCTGAATGTAGGAAGTAAAAGTTAAAAGGGGAAGAGCTGTGTCATATTAATTCTTCAGAGAAACAAAAACAAGGCAGAAATCCAAGACTGGTGGGGTTTTGTTTTGTTTGCAGGTGACTTTTAAGAACGTAGGCATCAGTAGTGTTGTAGTAAGAGCTATTTGGCAGGAAGTATTAAAATGTTGGTATTAATGGGTGTAAATACTCAGAACAATGATCAGAATGTCTCCATGTTGCTTTATTTAATGGTTAGTGAGTTGGCAAGTAGAACAAGTTGCACAGTTTAAGTTTGTAGGGGAAACTACAGAGTGGAATTGATGCTGAAAGCACATAAAGACAGGAGAAGTAGGCACTGTCTAGAGTAAAATTTCAACTCTGAGGATGTGCATTCAGTGAAAAAGAAAATTGTCTTAGGATGTTTTTAATTGAGGACAAATGAAATGAGACTAGTGAGAAAGGAGACTGATGTGGAATCTGAAGAGAAACAACAGAGCTCTTTCTCCTGTTATCTGGGGACATACTTACATTCGAAGCAATAACATCAGCAGGATGGTGTCTGTAGTGTTGAGCAGAGTTTTGGTCAAGGATGTGAAGATTCTGCTTGACTGGCAGTGCAGTGGTTTCCCAGAGTGTAGTGATTACTTGTGGAGAGACATCTGTAAACTATCTATATTTAAGAAAACGAAAGGGGAACATAGCCTTGTCTACATATTTTGAGACAGCGAAGTGTTCTGTCCAAAAAGAGGATGAAGTTTTGTTGTCCGTTGGAAGATACAGCTTTTCCATTACTGGCTTATGGCACAAGCATGGGTAGTCTTATGCTGTGTGAAGATGGAGGGATAGGGAAAACCTGCATCATAACTGGAGTTGCTCCAGCTGGATAGATGCTCCAGTTGAGCAGCCATCACACGTTACAGCATCTGCAGTGATGCAGGCTGTGTGCTGCCGGTGCAGAGAATAGATCTAAGGAAGCTGCTGGGAAGGCACAGGTGCTGTGTCTTCCCTGTACCGTTAAGGGGGCTTGAGTTTCTTGCTAGGTCACATTTGTAGAGGAGGCAAATTCTGATACAGACCGAGCGGATAACCGGAGTGCTAAAAGGATAACTGTTTTTTTCCATCTCTAATTCTCTGTGTAGTGCATATGTTGCTCTTTGTTTTATGATACTACTAATCATGATTACAAGTCCCAGCAAAATAAATACTTTGCTGCAAACACAGCAAAAGAGATCTTTCTTCTCCACTTACGAGAAACAGATTCTTGTCACATGATGCTGCACTTCTGTGCCATCGGTTGCATATCATACTTAAGATTATGTTGCAGAAAGTGTTGTTCGTTTATGTTAAGGACATAAAAGGGAAGAATTTTGGAAAGGAACTAGTAGAAGATGAGTTTAAGCAGAGGTTAGGGAGGCAGGTAACAACCCAATCTGCAGTCTGCCTAGTTTGTGAAGATCAAGTTGTGAGTATCTGCTTCATACATCATTGCCAAACAAATTATGAACATACTGTTCTTCATTTATCTGTTGTCAGAGATGAAGTATCAAGTGCAGCAAATAAATCTTGATTTTCATAAGCTCGGTTGACGGGCTGGAGCCCAGGTAGCATATAACTTGGGTCTAATGAGCTGAGCAAATGTGACATGGAAGACAAAGAGAGAAAGAAGTGTGTATGCAGCTCCTCAACCCTAGATTACGTAGGAAGAGTGGAAAAGAGGGACATGCTTTCCCTCCCACCCCTACCTGCTGTAATATCCCTAACGTCTTGTCTCAACTGCTGTTTCATTTGAAGCAAAAAAGCAAACAGACAGGAAAAAACACCCCCAGCTTAACAAGGGGTTCAGAAAACTGTATGAAACCCTAAAATTCCAAAATACTCCTTTAAACCGTATGGGATTGTGTCTTTGGCAGTGCTGTGTGTTTGTTTAAACAGTCTTCCTAGAGCCAGGGTTAAGCACTTCAGGGAATTCTATTGGAAAAGCCGGTTTCCTGAACGTTGTCACACACTGAAAATGTGGGAGGCGGATCTTTGTCAGGGATGCATTGGCTCAGCTGTGCTGCCTTCGGTAGAGCACACAGTGCATACAGGCTCTCCGGCTTTGCTGCTTCTTCTCTGGAGAAATGAATGGAGCAGCTTCCTCATCTGCTTGTTCCCAGACACTAGGCTCTATTGCTTTAGTGTGCATTTGTTTTAATTACTGCCTATTTATTTCTGGTTTGGTGGACACTGGGCACTGCTCTATATGCTCCAGAATATTGTATATTTACGCTTTATGTGGGGAAAAAAGTATATATCCCTGTATTACTTAAACTAGAAAGATGCAGATTAGCTGAAAAAGCACAGGACTGATGGAGGTGTGGTATATGATTGCAAAGAAGCTCACAGACAAGCGTTTTAAATGCAAGACAGCTAGAGAAGTAATGTCTCCATAGAATAAATAAAATTTGGTGTGAAGAATTGAAACACGAGGAGAAATCAGCAGTTGAAAGAATGTGTGTTTATGTAAATCATTTGAGGCCTGCTGAAACAAAATGTCAATATAACTGAGAAGTGAGAGGCTACAAGGATAAAAGTAACTGTTTCTCCCCAGCTCTCCCTACCTTTTATAGATTGGCAGTGGTAATTGTTACCCTCGAGTGGAACTTCTTTCTATTGCAGCTGTTGAGAAGCTCTTTGGTGAACAACAGGACACAGGCCAAGGTGGCAGAAGAGCTGGGAATGCAAGAATTTGCCATCACTAATGACAAGACAAAAAGACCTGTAGCTCTTCGAACTAAGACTTTGGCTGATCTCTTGGAATGTGAGTTAATTTCGTTATAACAGCTTACTATTTATGCAACTCCTTTTTCCTTAGGGCTTGTTTAAGAAAGCCTTTAGAAATACCCCAAATAACTCTTACAAATGTATGTTCAGGTTTTCATATGAACTATACCTCTGAAAAACAGACTTTTGAACATTAGCCTAGATTTATGAAGGCTTGAAGGAGGCGTAATTGCACGTGCAAAGTTGTAGGCTTAGAAACTGAGGGGGCATGTTGACCAGGTCAAAAACATGTCTAGAAAGTTAAAGCTTGTATTCAGAGTTGAGCTGTTTAACAGCAGTTTCAATGTTTCATTAATGTGTTCTTGTCACTGTTGGAAGATAAAGTAGTTCCTGCAGCGGGTGAATATTTCTGTGGTTCATTTGATTTCATTTTAGGAGGTTTCAAAATGGTCATTCCACAAGAGGGAAAGCTACATTAAAATTAAATTATTTTTAGTACATTTATGAAAGTTTGTGCTACCTTCTTTCCAAAGAAAGTGGGAAGTGTAAAGAATATTCTGCAGGGAAAGTTAATCCTTATCTTGTATATTTTGATATGTGTTGTCATCCATTCAGAACCCTTGGCTTTTGCCAAATCCTCTTAGCAAATGGAAAGTGCACACAAACAGGAGTGATTTATATCTAAAATATTTTTATGGTACCCAGGGGTGATCACCTAGTAGCGATATTTGTAAGTATCCACCATCTCCAGGTAAAAAGGCTAGATTTAGGAGCTCAGTGTTGTTTCTAGCTCTTAAAATGACTGAGTGGATTTGGGTAATTCACTTAATCTCTTGGTCAACTTTATTTTTCCCTGCGTATGCAGGATAATAATACCCTCATCAAATCACTGCTGTGAAACATAATTGAATATGGTTTTAGAGTACTCATAGATACTTGTTTCTAAAAGTGCAAGCCTGGATGAGTGACAATACCTTTTTTCCCCCCCTTCAGCCTTTATTGCAGCTCTGTACATTGATAAAGATTTGGAATATGTTCACACTTTCATGAATGTATGTTTTTTCCCACGGCTAAAGGTAAGACCAGTCAGGTTCGTACTTCTCTGCTGCCATGTTTTAACACATTATTATGTTTTGGACTCTTAACACAGTCTCTCAATCATAAAAGCACCTTTGTGAACTTCTTGCAGGAGTTTATTTTAAATCAAGATTGGAATGATCCTAAATCTCAGCTTCAGCAGTGCTGCTTGACTCTCAGGACAGAAGGAAAGGAGCCAGACATTCCTCTTTACAAGTAAGAAGTGGGATTATATGGATACAAGATAGTTCCAGCACAATTCAGCCTCTCCTCCTGTATAGTGGTAGAAGCGCTCAAGGCAATGAACCTCTTCACTTGTACACCTCAGTTAGATACCTGAAGCTGGATGGAATGGATCTCCCTTCTCTCTTTCACTTGTTAAGTGGCACAATAGCTGCTTCAAACAGGCAGTAATAAACTTAAGATTACATATTGCGTTTATAGCCATTCATTTAATGTAGGGTTGGGTGCAATGTTAGCCCCAAATGAGGAGATAAAGGCTATGAAAGTTCAAGGCTTGTGTTGTTGGGACTATTATATCAAAAAGGTGTGAAGAGTGAAAGTCTTGAGTGCATTTGTCACATTTACTGAAGTAAAGTTTTCATTGAAATGTAGCAGTTCAGTGACAGTGACAAACAGTGCACTTCAGAAATATGATCGCTCTAACACTGCAACTGATGCTCTGCAAATCTGACTCCTCGGTGTCTCTGTATTGAGGGCTCAGAGCTTTGTCTTCACAAGGGAGATGAATACAAAAGAAACAATTCCTGATTCTTGTAAAACCCACTGAGTATCAAGTACCAAATGTTTGTTTTGCTGTGATGACAAATTGATTTTTATAGTACAGCTTAGAGCTAGTAATATGCTGTTATCTTCTTATTATCTTGTTAAATTCCTTTTCTTCAGGTTATCTGTTTCATTGCAGTCAGTAATACTGCTTTTAAATTTGGTGTGGGTTTTATTTGCTCTTGTCACCGCACACAGAGTCAGAGTACTATAGTTAGATACTTTAAAAATTGATATGAAATTGGTGTTCCTTCCAAAAAATAAACGAGCTAGTGAACAGAACTCAGGCTGACAGTGAGGAGAGATTTGGGACAGCAGGAAGAGATGGCAGAAGCAACAATTCATTGCATGTCTAGGAAATGATCTTTTTTCCCCTTTAGAAGGTTGATGCACATCCTAGACTTTAGCTCAGATGGAAAGTTTGTGACAAACCGTAACCATTCAAAGCTGATTGAAAATGTTTTTGTACGGTGATAGTTCACTATGTAGAGACCTACCATGTCCAATATAAAGCCCTTTGAAAACCTTGCTAACTGCACAGCTCTCAAGGACTACGATTTTAGTGCACACAATAATCATATTGGTGTAATTATTTCCAATTGCACCGCTGTGCTCAAGTTACATGACTTCATTACAAGTGTGTTTGCAGCATGCAAGCACTTTGTGTTATTGTGTGCATTTTTGCCGATAGGTTAAAGTTTTAGTTTTCATATGGTGCTTCTGAGTGAACCTGAAGGAACAAATGAGACCAGTATAAACGAGGTGCATTTTGTGCACGTGTCTCCTTTTTGTAGTGTACCATACTGGTAATCTCTATGTTAATGTGATATACAGGGATCTTTTAACCCTTGTTCCATGCTTTGCACTAATTTATCTATATGTATTGATTGGGCTGAAAGCTTGGCGATACGTGTGCCACAAACAGATCCTGGATTTTAATACTTCCTGCTTGAATAAATCTTTTTATAAAAATAAAATAAATTAAAATAAATTAAATAAAATTCTTTTTTCAGGACTTTGCAGACAGTGGGACCGTCTCATGCCAGGACATACACCGTAGCTGTTTACTTCAAAGGGGAAAGAATAGGATGTGGTAAAGGCCCAAGGTATAGTGAAAAATTAACTGCATGGTGTTAAAGTTTGAATGTGGCAGTGTCCAAACTGTCTAGCCATGGAGCTAGAAAAATGGCCTTAAAAAAGAAAAGCTATAGAGCCTTCTTCAAGCTTTTCTGAGTTTCTGCCTCAGGAACACCTGAAGGATTCAACATCTTTAGGCTTTGGGTCTCATTTTTTATGACCTTGCCTACAAGGTGGCTAGCAATACTAACCCATTAGAGTCTGTCAGACTAGAAACAGCAGAGCAGCTTCCAGGAAATAGTGACTTTTATCTTTGGCTTTGCTACTACTGTTCAGCTTAAGCTGGCGAGTCAAGAGTGCAAGGCGCTCAGATTTTTTTTCCTGGTGTTATTACTTTTAGGCATTTTAGAATGCTTTCTAAAGTCGCAAAGACTTCACTATGAACCCCAAAGACCTCATCTTATTTTCTGCTGCCAAATCTGGTGGTGGTTACAAAAATATCATTGGTTTTACAGCATTCACACCTCTGATTTTGTTCCTTTCTTTCTCTCAAGTAAAAGCAAATGCTTCAGTGAAGAATGGACTAGAATATTCTCTTAGTGTTATTGATCTAAGTTTAAAAATAGTCTGCTGGAGCTGTGGTGCTAATGCTCACATATTTATGGAAAGGCTGATATATCATACACTCTGGGAATTACTAGCTACTGGTTATCCAGAGTTTTATTACAGAAGAGTAGCTAGTGTTCCACTGTGTCAGAAAATTCAGTTTATCCTGTATGACTTAGACCTCATGTAACATGTTTTTGTTTGGCTTTCACAGTATTCAGCAAGCAGAAATGGGAGCTGCAATGGACGCACTTGAAAAATGTAAGATACTTGGGTAACAAAGAAAATAATTTAAAGTTTACGTCCTTGGTTTTAGTGAGGTGAAGTGCAGGTTTTGTGGGAGAATGAATTGTGCTGAATGCTGTCAGCTTCTGAGCAGCAGGTTTTCCTTTTAGTACTTTCAAGACAATTTTGTAGCAAGTGAAGTTAGTATGATACCAACAAGTATTTTTGAAAGGGAGTTGATCAGCTACAGAAGTTGCAACTCAAAGAGAACAATGTGCAGTGAAGTCTCATTGGGATTTTTCCATGTTTACATATGCAGTGGGATAAGACTGCCTAGTCTCTGACGATGTGGTTGGCTCGTTCTCTAATTTCGGGGAGGAATAAAATGACTTTTCAGTTGCCAGTTTAGAAAATAATATTTGATCTCAGATGATGCAGCAGGCTTGGTTAAGATCTGACAGGCAGATCCCCAGATAATGTAAGCCAGTATTTCTGTGAGGATCCAGTGATCTGTGCATGCATCTCAGAATTAGGCACAGGACAGCCAGCATGGGAGCAGTCCTTCATTGCAGCGGAGTCTCAGATATGAAAGGAATTAGTGTATGCAAACGTCTTACATGAAAGAACTTGTCAGTCGAGTTGAAGTGCCATGTGTGGACTCACTGTAAGCAAATAGATCACATGCATTTTGTGCAGCAGCAGATCTCTCTTCAGAAGAACATGGGGAGGTACATGTATTGCATTTGATTCAAAGGAAAGCCATGCAGTTCCTCAGATGCCAAAGGTTTTTGATCTGTTCTCTCTGCATGTGGAAATCCCAGGGCTTAGAAACTTCAGAAGACAATGAATCCCTGTATTTCAGATTTTTTTATATCCCATCTTCTAGGCATGTACTTCTCACCCCCAGTAAATGTGAGAAGTAGAACAACATAACCTCCCTTCTCCACTGAATACGTACAAAATGTTACTGAAGTTTACTTTGTGTATTTCTTCTTGTGATGGTATCACCACTCAGAGCTCTGAGCTTTATCTCCTGTCAGGCCAAGGATTCACAGCTCTTTGCTGACATACGTATTTGTTTGAATACCACAGACCTCTAGAGGCCTGTACTCCAACCACCCCTCAAAGCAGAGCCAACTTTCAAGTTAGGTCATGTTTCTCAGTGCCTTGCCCATCAAGTTCTGACTGTCTTTAGGGATGGAGGCTCCACAGCCCCTATGGGTTCCTCTTCTAGTATGTATGTATTTGTGGAGTGGAGGTTTTTTGGTTTGGGCTGGGTTTGGCGGGTTTTTTTATACATAAATAGTTAACTTCAAGGAAAAGTAATTTTCATGTAAGTGTTTATATACATGACAGCCATGATGAGTTTATTATATAAATTGCCTTCTCAACTTACTAAACAAACAGGTTGCTACCAAGCTGAGTTCTTAGGAGTTCTTAAAGAATCACATTACAAGTACAGTGCTGAAAATCTGATTTCCGTTTTATGGTGCACACGAGCAACACAATGTCCCAGAACTCCATTAAACAAATCACGGTGTTTTTAAAAACAACAGCAATTTAAAAACAATTTGCTTCTGTTTAGATTGCTCTCAGGTTTAAGTAAATACACCCTCCTATGCCCGAGTTGTAAATATCTGACAAATAAACCTTTTATTCCTGTAGTGTATAATAATAGGCACCAATTTCACTGGCCAATAAAACAAAGCAGTAGAAAGTCATTGTGCTTTACCACAAACTCCTGTAGATTACGTGGCTTCTGCACTGTGTTCTCTAGCTGAACAGATCTCTGCTGCCTGGGATGCAGAAAGAGGAGGAAAATGCTCAGTGCCAAGGGAGTCCTCCCTGAGGAGCCTTAGGTGAATTCTCTCTTGGTAACCAAGTAGAGAGAGCGCGCTGTACCAAGACATCTCCCAGATTTGTTTGTATGGCTTTAAGGGTCAGCGTAGCAACCTTTTGGGTTTATCTGGGTCACAGATAGGTAGCCAGTGCTGGTCCCAGATCTCCGTGTGATCTAAGCAGGATATTCTGCCAACTGCAGGCTGCCACCTCCTTGTTTTCTGACTGGCTGGAGGGTGCAGGTCTGTGCAGCACAGAGGCACAGATGAATGTCAGCACCCTGGTCATGCAGAAAACGTCAGGTTCTGTCAGCTGTGCACTAAATTGAGGGCAGGTTTTTTTTTTTTTTTAGAACCTGGTTTTACAGCCTCGGTTCTAACCAGTGTACATTGTACATACGTACCAGCCAATGGACAAAAGTCTGAAATCGGAGCATCTATCCCCCTAGCTATTTCTCCATCACCTCAGCCTTGTCTAGTCTGTTTTAGCCTGTTTTCACTCATCCATGCTCTTAGACTACGCTGAGGCTCTATTCTGGTACGTAGCCAAGCATTAACTTTTTCAGGAACAGATTTTACTGCGTTCCATTTTGCTGCACTATTACTTTCCCATTAGAAACCCTGCCATAATGCAGGGCATCTAGTGGATTCTGCATGTTCTAAAATAACAATAATAATAATAATTATAATGGAAACATCTGTGCAATGCTTGGAACCAGTGGCTCATACTTTTTTGGAGTGATAAGCAGCATTGACAGTAGTCTCACATTCGTTTGTCACTGTTGACCACCTGTTGCTAATGGAACAGAATGTAAAATCCAGGTAATACCTGGCCATGTTGCTATACCAGGATTTTGTATTTTATTTTTGTGAGTATTAGATTTGGCAGTGTTTTGTAGCAGGAGAAACAGATGTGGAAATGATAAAGAAACCAAACACAGCCCTGGTTTACTATGGTTTATTAGAAATAAATGAGTAAAAATGGTAATAACACTATTCACCCTTACCCCTAATTTCATCAAAGTTTAAGGACAAAAAAAAACCAAACCTGAGGCTTTCTGTATTACAAATTTGTTTATTAATGTAAAATATTTCTCCTTGTGTCAGATAACTTTCCCCAGATGGCCCATCAGAAACGGTTCATTGAACGGAAGTACAGACAAGAGTTGAAAGAAATGAGGTGGGAAAGAGAGCATCAAGAGAGAGAGACCGAGGAGTCTGAAGAAGCAAGGAAATGAAAGGAGGGCACAGAAGCAGTGGCATATTTACTTACTTAATAACTCTGACTGTGGACTATGGAGACCTAACCTAGTTTCTTGCAGATGATGAATGAAGAGCGCCTGTTGATACCAAGTAGAAAATTATACTCTCTACTTAAAAGAAGTGTGTGTGTATATAGTATTTCTTTAATTTGGTTTTAAGTGCAAAGTTTGTTTGGCTTTTTAATAAGACTTGGTTTTAAATCCTTTTAATTTTTATGAAAAAATGTGGGATTATTTTTATTATTTTTACTGCCTTGTATGAAGTAATAAAGTATTAATTTCAAAAGTCTGTAGAAGGAAAAGCTGTTTAACAATTGTCTCCTATGTCCAAATTCTGTTTTGCCAGTGACCAGGAAAGTTATTGCATGAACTGTGCCGTGGATGAGGGAAGTATTACAAATACAGCAGAGCACTTAAGCATGTACGTAACTAAAGTTTTGCAGCTAAGTTTTGGTACCTCTTGACTCTACTAAGCCAGAGCCATAAGCTTCAGGTCCCTATACAGAAACTGATACAGTAATTTAAGCAAAGGGAGATGTTCAGTTTTGTTTTCAGCAGTGGATTCCGCATCTGGAATGTGACACAGCAGGTGTGTGTGGAAGGTTGGGGACTTTTGTCTTTCTAATAAGACAAAAGTCTTATTCCTTTATTAGTATAATAAAACTCTAAGAAAAAAAGATAAAAAAGGTAATTATGAAGCAAGAGAATGACAGCCTTTTTCATAGAGAATGTACTGAGTTTACATTTACAGATTTAGTTTCATTCTCAACTTCTTGCTTTATCGGACTGCTGTCTACTTTAATGGATTTATTTGTCCAGAAGATAGCAGTGTGACCATAACAGTCAAATGGTGTATGAGAAACTCCATACAGGTGCTGTTTCAGGTAGGTTCATTGAAAACTGGGTGTACCCAAGGGAGGGCAGAATTTGTCCCCAAGGTGTAGTTCAAGGATGGCATACAGTTTTAAATCACCCTTGATTTTTGTTGTCTGTAGCTTGTACTAGACAGACAGATGTTTCTTTTATAAAGCTCTGAATGGTACCAAGAGTGGGACATCCACTGCGGCTGTTGGTGGGTTTTCCCCACTGACTACCAGTTTCATGGTAGATATTGGTGCGTTGTTCATGCTTTTAATTCGCCCAGTTCAGGCTGCTTGTTCTCGTTGTGCTGATTTCTGAGTTAAAACGGTCCCATAGTGCATATTGTTCAGTCATTTCTCTCTCTTTTCTGATAAGTGAAACAGCTACAACTCTCACTTTCCTTAACTGCGCATTTTCTTGCTGCTTCAGATCCCTTTTGGGGAGTTATGTGTCTTTTCTGATGTAGCAGGTGTATGTGATAAGGTGCCAGGCAGCTTCATGAGCATGGATGCACATGTCTGGCCCAAGAAATTCATACGGACTCCTGAAAGAAAACTTTTGCCCAATGGCCACACTACGTCTGAGCAACTAATTCAGCATTTGTCTGAAGGACCTTTCCGTAGGTGTGCGATGGGCATCCATGATAGCACTTTTTTGCAGGTGCCAAAGCAGACACCAGCGTAGCTGAAAATTTCAGACTACCCAAATGTCTTCTCAAAGTTTCACTTCTGAGCTGATCAGTGTGTGTTTTCATAAGCACATTTTTGTACGCATGCAGTATGAGATGCACTTAAATGTGGGTTGTTTGTTTTTTTTTTAACTTGACCCACAGCACTACCTCACTTCTTCCAGCTTCTATGATTGCCTTTTCTGAATGGATTGATGCTTTAAATCCACTTCAGAGGATGAGAGATAAAAAATAACAACTCTGTAATTTAGAGAGTGATAATAAACCGTTAAAACATAAAGGAGGGGATAAAACCAACACCGCGATAAAGGCAAGGAGCTGCTCCCTGCTGGATGCTGCAGTTCTTTGGCTTTTGAGAAGTGATTGTAACTCCTTATAGCTTCCGTCTGTAAAGTGCTGAAATACTTCTGAACAGCAGCAGGCTTGAAAAGCAAGCAGCAGAAGCCCCCTGCCCTCAAGTCTTCTGTATTTCAAATTCTTTTGTAAACTTGCCCATCTGCTTCTAGCAGTAAGTTGAAATGGTGCATTGCTAGAGGGTTAAGGATAATTGCGTACACCATTATTTTATTTTTCCCTCTTCACTGTGACCAGATTCCTGTGTTTAACAAGTAAAACATGCAGTGACTTAATTTTCAGAAGTATCATTGCTTTGCCAATTTCTCTCGTTGTGTCTGATACCACCAGAGTACCCCAGTGGAATTTTTAGCTCATTGTTTAATGTTACTTTCATTCCTCCTATACATCAGTTCACTTTTCAGCTGTAAGAAGACTGTGAGCTTATTCGTAAACAGTTGTATAAAAATAGATTGAATTTATCAGAAAGGCTGTCTGGGAGGAGGAACCCAGAACTGTTCTCTTTTCTTCTTTGACCCACAAATTGCTCGAAACAAACAAAACTATTTCTGCATTCCATTACAACAGTTAAAAATATTAGGTCTTCCTCAATAAAATGTAGATGATTACCATTTTTTCATGAGTAGGCTATTTTCCCTTTTTTTCATAAGCATGGGCGAGGAAGATTGCCTGAAGAAATGTTGTTGCCTTGAAGGCAGAAAATGAAAGGTAAAGAAATTGATTTTTTCCTTTGTCTGCATCAAAACTGCAGTATCTTTCTCTGTATGTCACTGTCTAAAAGCAGTGTCTATGAATGTTTCTGATAATTTAAGGAGGTGCACAGAATGTGTGATGTGAGCGCAGTGCTTTATAATACACACCAAGGAGAAGAAGTTGTTTCTTCAAGTTGCCTTGAATTTGGAAAAAATGGTTGCTGAACTCATGTTAATCAGTGGAACAGCTGTGTTCTGTAACTGGACAACTTTGGCTGCTTTTTGGGAAATGTAAACGTGTCTGTGGTGTATTGATAAAGTAAGGTCCTTGTTTGATTGCTCCAGAGCCGGATCTGTTCTGATCTATAGTTATGCAAGATCCATTGACTTGATTTGGGTACAAATAGATGAATGAAGAACAAGACAGATCTGTGTGGATCCAGCAGTTCCTGTGAAGGGACTTTTTTTTTCCTTCCTTCAGTGTGCATGTGTACAGAACGTTGAATAGAATTGTAGTTCATTTGATTAGGAATTTTACTTGAATTTACATGAAATTCATCACCATTATTTGAAGAACTTAAGTTTGGTTTGTAAGATTTCAGTTTCTGTAAGGTTATTTAACCAAGAGAACCTTGGGCTCTAAGACTTCTTGTAAACATTGTTGATAATAAATTTGTCCAGAAAAGACTTCAGCCATAGTTTTTTACTTGCTAAAACAATTTGGAAAGATCAAAAGGCTAATCCTGACCATCTGTCCCCCTACTTCAAAGACCTGACTATACAGGCTACGTATTTAAATGAAGTAAGCGGTTCACTTGTAAAAAATGTCTGTTGGGTATAAGTTGGTAAAGCCATATAAGAGCTTAGGGAGTTGATTGTCTACGTGGTACCATCGTGCGTTGCCTTTGGTGGGGATGGTGATAGAATTTTCTCTGGCTCATATACATCTCACCTTCTTTCTTCGTCCCACCCTGCCAGATTATGTATTTGTCATTGCACATTTGAAATAGTTTTGCCTAAATGGGGAATATTAACCAGAGAGTGGTTCCTGTCCTGTTCCTTGAAACCTAGTGAACACTTGCAGTGGAAGCATGCTCTGCTGTCTTCTGTTCCCTGCAAGCCTAAATGATTAGCTGTTGGAATGACTGACATCTTACTGTGAATAGGCTCAGAAATGTGACACGTCCCCTTATTGGTTGCTGGCAGTTATTCTTGGCCAGCGAGCCATGGTGCCTGGGGAGAGGCGTTATGGGTACTGCTGTCTGTTGTTTCATTCATAGTTAAGCAAATATGGTGAATAGCCTCGAAAGCATCTGCAAAGTAAACTGGTCACTGACTAATGAATTTGCATTTACTTATTACACTAAAAAAAAAAAAAAAAAAGAAAAATGCCATAACAAAATGGTAGGTGTAGCAGGGAATCGGATCTCTCACCTGGCATGGACACAACTCAATACCATTTACTGTTATTGCAGAGCTGCTCATTAGACCCATCTACCAGTGAAAATTATGTTTAACTCCTTGTATTTTGAAGACATCATTTATCTTTGTATGACGATGTTGGTTAAAATGGATTGCAGATCTGGAGGTGTACCGGTCACTTCAAATTATAGGCAAGGTGGAGATTTTTATTTTTTAGTGAGAATGGCCTTTTTAAAGTATTCCATGACTTTTTCTTCCTTCATATTCTATTTTGTGTTCCCTGCTTGAGTTACAGATGGTGCGTTTCTTAGCAAGTTGTTCATGTTTATGTTGTACTGTGTCTACATAGCAATGAAACACTAGGTAAGACCACCCAGCACATCTCCGTCATGTTTCTTTGGATCCCTCTTTTAAAGCAGTTTTCTCTCTGTAGAAGGACATAAGGGTCAGTGACACGGCACTGGTCTTGGCTTGTTGTCCTTTTTTTACTTCTCTTCATGGTAGCCTACCTCATCGCTGCTGCCGTGAGGTGCTCGGCTGGAGCAACTCCCCGCAGCTTGCAGAAGAGAAGACCATCCTAGGCTCTTGTGTCTGTGGTTTCTGCTCATCGGCACGTTCTTGACCTGCAAGATAATGAGCTGAGGGAAAGGGGTGTTGCAGGAGTGCATTGACTGGGATCAATCAGCATGCTGGAAGATCTGCCAGAGAGTTACAAAAGCAGCGCAGTTGGAGAGGCCGACCCCGCAGCTGCAGCTGAGTGCCTTTGCCAGAACAGGTAGGCTGAGCATGAGAAAAATTAAATACCTCCCCTGCTTTTAAGAAGTCAAAAGACAAGGACTGCTCAAAGACAAAGGAAAGAGCGACTATCCTATCCAACTCTCCTGGATTGTTTTGTTTCCATGCCTGTGTATTCCGGTACCCTCAAATTTCACATATTCCTTCTGGGGCCCTAAGATGAAACAGGTTATGTGCTACAGCTACTCAGATTTCCCTGTCCGCCAGGGAGTAGGTTTACCTCAGAGGCCCTTTTCTTCACCTGCTTGCTATAGATAACAAAGGGAGCACCAAATTCCGCTCAAAACTTCACTAGCTACGTATATTTCTTTTTGTCTAATTCCTCACTGCATTCCCCCAAAGGATCCCAAAATCTTTCATGAATAAGTAATGACATACTTGTGAATTAGAAAACCATCATACCTGAATGACTCCAGTGTGGGGTTCTGTTGCTCTTCACAGCACCTGTGTGGAGGCAATGAGGGACTGCTGACTCTGTTGCTGAGCCAGGAGA